GCAATAATAAAATATCTGTCTTTTAATTTCATTAAATCAATCAATCATAGAATCTCTCTATGCTGCTTATTTTTAGGATTTCAAAATATAAATATATATACATATATATATTTATCGTAGAACTATTCACTATTCTTAGATTTCTATCAACTTTTCAACTCACTTGCAAAGCAACCAAAGCAAATCAACTCAATTTGAAATTCCAACACTTGTTAGACCCATGCGTTACATTATATTCTAATTGCCGTGCAAATCGATCCAAAGACAAACCGAACTTAACCGAACTATCAAGGAGGTTAAGTCGAAAACAGCTATTACGCATTAAAGTCAAAGACTGGTTCAGGCAGCAAATGCAACAGCTTTGAAGTTACGTTCGAGAATTACTCACATGCACGCACACACAAACACATCTAGAAAGAGAAAGAGAGAGGCAGAGATAGAGTGTGGGCGAGTTTAGTGAGGGAGCCAGATTCAATCGACCCAACTGCCGCTTCTGCCCACTAAAGCTGGTTGCAAAAACTTTTCAATTGTGGTTTGGCAGCTTCCCCGTAAAACTTTCATTAAGATGAAAGAGAGTAAAAAGTTTGCCCAGTGCCAGGCGGGCAAACGAGCTGACGGATCCGTTTAGAAAGATATATATAGATATATACGTAAAAACAGCAACTATGAACGCTGCAGTCGGGCGTAACGAGCCACTTAATACTCGATCAACAGTCAAGAAAATTTATTACAATTTATTGCAAGTGGAATTGAAGTTAGTTTTCAATGAATCACAGCGAACTGTAGAGAAGTTGATTAATCTTAGCGAATATTTAATAGAATTGCAATCTATAATATATTGTTAATATATTCAGTAGAATCCGGTCCGCTCAAGGGACCATCGTTATACCTGGAATACGTTATAGCCATACAAGTTTCTCTAGAGACCAGAGTTTTTAAACATTATTTTAAGACTAGGGCCATCAAACGATGATTAAATTATAATTTTACCCCATAAGAAGAACTCTTTGCCTACTATACACTTATATGGTCGTTGATATTAATTAAAAAAAAAATCATTAAAATTGTCCGACTTTCAGTAGAATGCATCCAATAACTCTTCAGTATAGACTTTGAATTTCAAGAGAATATTCAAAAAATCTTCGGATCATATTCATAGACATAGACATGGACATTCCGTAGAACCAATAAGCTCTTCTGGATGCCCTGGGCGAGCATAGCAAAGCACAAACACGCACACGCGGGCTGATTAAAAAGTCATGTGGAAAAAATCTTTACCAAAATGCCAACACTAACAAGCATGCATCATGCTAGCAGAGAGAGAGAGCTAGCTGCTCTCTCGGTCTCTCTCTCGCTCACTTGGTCTCGTTTGCTTTTTGACTGTCTCTGTTTATTGCAGGATTACCTGGGTGGCTGCATTGTTTTTGTGGCCATCGTAACGGCACTGGCAACGGCAAGCGTCAGTTGCAGCAGCTATGTGAAGGAGGCCGAGGCGGAGCTGGCAAGTGGCAGGACCACGGAGGAGATGGCAGGAACTTATGCCATCAATAAAGGCGCCAGCTCCAAGGAGTTGACGCCGACGCCCTCGCTGGTCGGCCTGGCCATAAACTACACGTTGTTGGTGCCGATTTACCTTAATTGGGTTGTAAAACTTTTGGCCGATATGGAGATGTATGCGGGCTCGGTCGAACGCATTGCGCACTATGCGCAGCAGACACAGCAGGAGGAGCAAGAGCAGCAAGAGCAGCAGCAGGAGCAGCAGCAGGAGCAGCAGGATACGGAAATAAGCAATGAAGTCGATAGGTCGCACTGCACGACTAACGTTGACAAAGTTTACCCAGGCGCAACGTCAGCTGGCGTTGATGTTGCCGGCGACTCAGCTCGAGCGGCTGATAAATTAAATGCAGGCAATGCAGCTGCAGCAGGAGCAGCAGCAGGAGCAGCAGCAAAAGCCGGCAATGGCAATCACTTAAACTTCCACACGGCGCCAGTTGCTGACAAGCGGCAGCTGGCGACGACAGCGGCAAGGACGTCCATGATTAAGGATAAGGCACTGACAGCACTTGGCGACAAGGTCGCGTTATCTAATGAGCCATCGAGGCGTATCAAAACTTGTGAGTACCAAACAGCATTCAGCTCTATGTCTATCTCTCCCTCTCTCTCTCTCTCTCTCTCTCTCTCTCTCTCTTTGTGCACCTGCTAGATGGCAGCCATGTCCATTATATGGCTCATTGAGTAACAATTGATTTATGACATCTGCTCCGATTGGGCCACACACTTACACTGTCCAACAGAAATTGTTGTTTGTATTAAAACAATGGAAATCTCTCCTTTAGTCCTTTATTTTAACATTATTCAACACGAGTTTCTTGTTGCACAGTTTAATCATAGTTAATCGCATATTGTGTGGGTATTTCTTGGGTTTCTTTGCTTGAGACAGCTTAGGTGCAGTTAGGTCATGCCTCTATTCAACTTAGATTTTTGCAAATAAATAAGATTAGATTAGTTGTAATTACATATGTATATAGCTGCTTACCCCATTGGTACTGCGGTGGTATCTGGATTTGGCCATCCACCACTTTGCATTTATTCACAAGGAAATTTATGATTAGCTGGGGGCATACTAACTTGGCCACTTCAGATGGCATAAGTACGGTCGATCCACTTGGTAAAGACAAGAGATAATGCCATTGGTCGTCAACGTACTTAGCGCCCAACACGTCTTTGAAATACGTGCTTGGCAGTATTCCGGAAGAATTTTGCAATGGGGGCTGCTCCATTTTGAGAAAAATAATTTTTTTTTTTTTCACCGATTTGTAGACCTTTTCCAATTGACTTCACAGCTACGATTAAAGTTTTTGTCGTACCGACCACAGCCAGACGAATTCAACTGTTGGAACGGAACTACTTCCGGCCTGCTTAGATGACTGAACATTTGCTGTGTGTTCATCGGGATATTGAACGATGTTTGCTAAAAAAGCGATTTTTCGTGATTAAAAAATACAAAAATTTACGTAATATAAACTTTTTTGTTGATAAATATGTATTTATTTGTTGAATTTTAGTTTAGTATATTTGGTTATTATTATTACAATTTTTTTTTAAATTTATTTATTTGTTAAATTTTATAATTTTATTAATATTTCACTATATCAGCAATTCAATATATTTATATTAAATATTTAATTTATTTATATATTATTTTGTAAATATTAAATAAGTATATCTAAAGCTAATGGTCGTCCTTCTGATTTAAAATCAAATTTAAAATTAATTATTTTAAAATTAATTTAAATTTAAACTATTCTTTGCTCAATTGTTAGTTCGCTTTGTATTATTATTCGGGCTAAGCTGTTCGACCACAGTTAAAACCTACTTGGGAGTGTTTGCGAGAGTTGACTTTAAAAAGCACTCGAGTGCGTGCCATGATCTGGAAGACCCTTTTCATGAAGTTTTTGTTTGCCGTTGCCGATGCCCTCATCACTTTTTGCTTAGCTGGTTTAATTTTTTGGCTTTCATTTCGAGTTTTCAAATATTCAACTGACAGTTGCGGGCGCAAAAACTCTCCCACTTTCTCTCTCTCTCTGTATATAGTTGAGCAAAAAGGTCACACAATTTTCATGCTTTGTCGATTCGGGCTCTAAATTTAATACAAGCGTTTGTTTGCAGTTCTTCAGTGCATTCGCCAGGCTCTTTGTTTGCTTATGTGTTGTCTTTTATTTTATATATTTATCCCTTTTTTTTTATTTTGTTCTCGGCAGACCAAAGCGTTCCGATTTCCTGGCCACAGCGCGGCGACATCAGCTTCGAAGATGTGAGCCTACGTTATGAAGGGCAAAGGCAGAACGTTATCAGCCACCTCAACTTAAGGATACCAGCAGGCCAAAGGGTAAGTACAATAAACATTGTCAGAGCCAAACAGGCTTGCACTAGGCCAACAACTCGCATTCAGTTTGTGGGTAGCCGACGAGCAGATACTCTGTAAAGAGAAGCGAGTTTAGTTTTGCTTAAATAAAAATATACTTTTGTATATGGAATTGGGGATTATATTAATATATAAGTATACATAATTATCAATATTGTAGTACGGCAATAAGAGATTAGAGTGAACAGCACTATGGTTAGGTGCATTGTACATATATCGATACTTAGCCATATCGATGGCTGCGAGGCTGTCGATAGTTGCCGTGAGTACGATGATCGTGAGTGGCTTAAGCAGAAGAAGAAGAACGAAAGCGCAATTTTAAGTTGAAAGTGAAGAAGCTGTGCAAATAATTTACGACAAAGCAAAGTCTCTTAGAATATAGTACATATTTATTCCTATCTAAAATCTATAACAATCGATATATACACACATAAATATTAAGAATACGAAAATGGATTACTGATAAATGTAGAGTAGCCCATTTAAGCTAAACTCTGAACAGCCATAAATACATCAAAATACGCTTAAACTGTTTTGATTGATTCGATTGCATCGATATCTATTGGCTGTCGCACAACAAAACGCATTCTTTAGACACTTAAGCTCCAGAAGGGCATACAAAAATCACAGACCGATGATACATGTACATACATATTGTACATATACAATATATATATGTAGGCAATGGAATTGCATGAAAGATGCAAGAAGCCAATCTCTTGCAGCCCAACAAACTGTAACTGTGGCTCATACAGCGCCCATTGAGAACTGAGTGTGCACTTTGGCCGCAAACTAACCAAAGCCACACAAATCCATTCAACATTCACCATTCGGCATTCGACATTCTGCATTCTCGTCTGAAATGGTCAGACATTTGCAAAAAGTCAATAACTGTTTGAAAAGTCAGCAACTACTTGCATCTGTCGTTAGAGAGAGATACATCCACTATCATTATGGAGGAGCTCGCTGGGTCTACCAGAGCAAATCGTGTGTGAGGCTTGAGGCGG